TGGATTTGAAAATTAAAATTTAATTTTGTTTATTTTTTATCCTTTTAATATATGAAATATTTATGAAAATTTTGTTACAATAGATAATTTATAGTATTATTTTACTTTAAGAATAAATGTTTTATTAAGGAAATTAAAATCAATAAAATATGAAATTATGCATTTAGATATTGTTAACATATTTATGAAAATAAAGATGGATTATTAATCAACTAACGAATTTTAAGATATTTTCTTTTTGCAATAAAATAGAGAACAAGTTTAAATCTGAATAGTTTATTTATATTATAAATAATGTAAGTATTGAATCTAGATTATGAATTTCACCTTTGCGAATCATTTTATTTTGATGAGTTGGCAAAATTAGTTGGAAATAATAATACAAAATCTTTATTTATAGTTTAATGAATGTATGGCGGTTATTGAATCTGATAATAATGTCATTAAAAATTTTTATACAAAATAAAAATCCTTTCAATATAAACTTTTACATATCTCTTAATAATAACCCATCAGCTATATACAGTTAAGCTTAAATATTAAATGTCCCAAACTTTCCAATCAGCCAATATGAATAAATTTTATTTTGAATATGATTTTCAAAAAAATAATTAAGGAAATATATAGGTTTCCATTTGTAAAAATCTACCAATGTATCTTATGTTCTTGTAAAAAATATCTAACTATAATGAGAAGAGAGATTACCATACCACTTCCCATCTGAGAAAAAGATTACAACGGTCAACCTTTGTAAATTAAATTTTAAAGAATATAGTTTGTTACACACGTTTGCAATTCTATTTTATCTGTAGGAGAAGTTATTCGACCTCTTATATATATCCTTTTAAAAAGTTTTATTTTTTTAGGAGTTCTCCAATCAACCTGACGTTTAGAGAGTTCTACTAAACGCATCTCCAAGGCGATTATTCGTAAATTATGAGATTTGTTTCTATCAGAATCAAATATAGATCAACATTAGTGGATAATTCTATATTAAAATAAAAGGAATTTAAGATTAAATTTAATCGTAGAATTAAACAAAGCTTCAATTAACTAAAAAAAAATATGTATTTTGAAAGTTTGAAAAGAACAGCTTATAAAATATTTAGAGTCACGTGACTATCGTGCAGAGAAAAAGAATATAAAGTACTTATTTTAACGTTATAATTATTATATACTTATCTATATAGTAAAGTTAGGTTAGAATATTTGTATAAATATTTTGTAGTTTAACTTCACTTTTTTTTTCAGATAGGGACTAGACTTAAAACTCCATAGTTTAATAATAAAATTCTTATTTAAACTTTCAAACTTATTCATGTCTTCATACAATGTTTTGATCGTGATACTTAACTACACAAATGAATCGTAATAAAGAAATTGTAGTATAAATCTCTCTTAAAATGGGCTATAATTGTCTTATTTGGGGGATAAAGTGTCAACGTTGCATTTGTTTTTTACATTCAATTAAATTATAATAATAAAAGTGTATAAATGGGTAATACATGTTTAGGAATCAGGTAACTTTTTTTATTTGGGTATAATCCGGATTCTATAATTCTGACGGGTCGCTACTCTAGCATTTAGTGCATTACACAAATTTAAAACAAATTAAAAAAATGAACTATTTTTTATTTTCAAATTTGCTAATTTAGCAAACTTTATTTACAATCTGCAAAATATTGTACTTAATTTCAAGATCATAAAATTTAATTTTGCACACTATTTCGTTTTATGTACTAATTGCTATCTTTAATGTGAATTGAGTGAATTTATTTTATCGACTAAATATTTCGTTCATTAATAAAACTAAAGCATGCAGATAATATACTTGTAAATCAGAAAATTATTAAATTGGCTGACTTTGGTTTATCTAAAAAAATTGAAGAGTCAAAGAATGCATCAAATGTATTTGGTTTATTACCTTATATGGATCCAAAAATTTTAGATAAAAATAAATAAGGATTACAAATTAAATAAAAAATCTGATGTCTATAGTGTATTGATGTGTGGATACCAACATTTAAAGGAGTTAATTATGATGAATATTTAACTCTGTCTATATTAAATGAAATGAGAGAAAAAATTATCAACGGAACTCCACCTGAATATAGTAATCTATATCAAGGTAATTAATAAAAATTATCATTTTACTTTTATAAATATTTTCTAACCCTTATTCACAAATTAGATTATTGGAAATACGAAATTGATGAATGTCCTGATATACAAAAAATCGTTTCAACTCTTAAAACAATTATTTCTCTTGAACATATTGAAATATTTCATGCAAATCTTATCTTTATTGAAGAAGATGATTTGCAGATAAGAAAGACATCGAGTTATATATTTCAAATAAAGAACGAGATGATGATTTAGAGGATTTCGAATTAACTGAAGATATTAATTTATATAAATATATTGACGAAAATTCAAATTTATATAGCAAATCTTCTTTTCGAACAAACATAACGGATTTTGACAAACATTCATTAATTAATTTATCAATAGAAGATAAATCTAGATATAAATCAAAAGATGATGAATTAGAGAATTTGGAAATATCTGATAATGATAGTCAAAGCAATTCAAGTTTACAAAGTCAAAAAACATTTCAAACAAAAAAATTGGATTTTAAAGATAAATTATTATTAAGTTCCATTTTTGAAGTTGAAAATTCTTCAAATAATTCATTTGATTTAATATTTATAAATCATATAATTATTGATAAGCTAATTAAATATGTAATTAAGAAATATAATAACGGTAATACTTTTAATCAAATTAACCATTTTATTAAACAAAAGATATTATAATTCAATTCAATAGAAAATCTATTAACTTGACTACAAAAGCAGCAAAATACACAATATATATAGTTTCTTGGATTACATTATTATTATAAAATTGGTATAAATGAAAATAGCACTGAAGTATATGAATTATTTTTGAAAGCAACAAAAGGAAATTATGCAATTTTACAAGTTTATCTTGCAAAATGCTATTATAATGGATATGGAATTGAGTGTAATTATAAGCTATCATTTAGTTGGTATAAAAAATCAGTAGAAAATGGAAGTATTATAGGACAATTTTATTTAGGATATTGTTATGAATATGGTATTGGAATCCAGAAAATAAAAAGAAAGCTATTTATTGGTATTATATAGCAGCTAGTAATGGAAATATAACAGCAAAATTTTATTTAGCAGATTGCTTTAAGTGTTGAAAAAGATGATAATAAAGTAATTTTATGAAAAATTAGCAGAAAAAAATATTTCAGATGCTCAATATCAACTTGGAAATTGCTATTTTAATGGAATAGGAACAGAAAAAATAAAAATAATACTTTATATTGGTATAATAAAGCATCAGAAAATGGAAATATTATTGCAAAAGATATTTTAAAGAATAATTCAAATATAAATGTAACCAAAGTAAAAGAAATTAAATTTTACT